ATTTCTCTGGGTGCGCACCACACTCAAGGCTCCATTCAAAAAGTTATGTGCAATTGGGGCATTTCTAGTAACATCAACTTGCCAAGGTTCCAGTCCGCGCTCCCCCCCCCTTCCGGACGAATCTAGTATCAATCTACTCAATTTCAAAAGATTGAGAGCAATGAAAACCCTGGACGGTTCGAATTTTCAAAGTGCAGCACCACAACTCTGAGCTACAGATCTACCAATGAAGCTTAGATAACCACGACTCGTTCGTTCACCCTTGCCCCCCCCCCGGCCGTCTGGATTTCATGTAGTGCAGCTTCAACTAGGTTAGATCCATCAGTGTATCCTAAATCTACCTTGAGGAATACCCACTCAATCGGTATTTTCCCACTGACGCGAAAGAATTTTCTCATCTTTTCGCCCCCTTTATGACTACTCTTTCGCGAATTTTTCTCCCTATTGCAAGCGACGATCTATGCAAAGTACTTCGGTAATTGAAAATCTGGTTTGATGGTTCTAACTTGGTGGAAAATTGTGTATAATTGGCCGTGAGAAAAGGGCAGAGAGAGGAAATTACGAAAGTTCAAAACAGGTTCTATGAGAGTGGCAGGTCCACACCCAACCTTTTCCACTTTCTGATTGTTCATTATAAAGTAATGTACAGATCAAAATACTGATGGGACTTCATAATCAGCCTCGATGTTCCACCGGCAACAAATATCCAAATTTCGTGAATGTCACCGACAATATTTGCACGCAAAAGACGCAAGATAAATAAATGATTGCATTAATTTTTTCGCGAACCTGAGAGACCAATATAGCAATGGTAACCAGCAGCTGATGCAGAGAACCGAGCATTCCACGGAGATTCGTTGGTGACGTCTCGGCCAGGTACATCGGAACAATGCACGTCAATCCTTCGAATGGGTTCATTTAATGCAAGAAACACACGTAGTGTTGGCAAATATATTTCAGGATTACTGTAGCATTAGCACTTATTGTGCTCCAATTTAGGCAAGCGATGGACGAAGACGGATTGTTTCGACCAGAAGAACTGACCAAAAGTCGTTCCTCTAGCCTGAGATTTGACACTTGGAATTTCTAGGGATTATGCGAGGCGAATGGGTCCGCAGCTGCGGCAACGTGCCACTTTCGCCGCACAAAGGTGCACGGGAACGGGGCTTTTGGGTAGTAGCGTCTCCATACTCCGCCCGCGCTATCTTTAAGATACAGCGCTAGCAGCAACACATACTCAGAGGTAGAAAACAATCAGAAGTGAGACTGCGGAGAAAAACAGCGCGTTTGGCTATGGCAGGCACCTGGCTGGCTATGTGACAGCGCGGGCGCTGTATGGAGACAGTATCCGAGCATCGTTACCCTCCAGCCCCGTTCCCGGGTATGTGACAAGAGAATCGTGATTTGCCGCGCAGGTGTGCGTCGCGTGCGACGTTGCGCCGCAAATGGCGATGATTCCAGGAAGGAGATGGCGACAAGGGGCAATTCAGAGCCGAAAATAGTCATGAATGTCTACGATGAGGGGTCTACATGAAGTCCGGTGCTCCAATCGACAGGTTAACACGAGTTAAGAAAACGCCGCACCCATCGCCGCGCGCGGCGGAGCGGCAGATTTCGATCCTCTTGCCCGTCTCCCGCACAATCAGAATCTACGGAGTGGGTGTACAGTTTGCTCTTAATTGCAGTATAAGATCCTTGAATTAATTCATCCTCACCACAGTAAAATCCAATGAACAATCGGCCCAGCACAATCATCGGATAGGCACCGCCCGGCTTCGCCAAGCCCATCAGAGCAGCAGCAACGAACGCGAGCAGATTGTTGTATAGTAGACCACCTCGTCGACCGACTTTATCGGCTAGCCATCCAGAAATCAAACCGCCGAACATTCCACCGACGGCAAACATCGACACGGCTACGCTCCTGAACACATGACAGGATTCAATATAGGATATTGTTCACTGACGTTTATTTTACTTTAGTGGAAAAGGAATTGACGGGTTCGAACGTTAAGCAGCGTTCAGACTTCGCGATGCCAGCGCTTCGGTCGCGCGTTCGACGCAGTCAAAAGCATGCGTATCGATCGCGTCGAACGCGCGACCGAAGCGCTGCAGTCGCGAAGTCTGAACGCTGCCTTAGCATGAATTTCGAGCTGAGCTCAAACGAGATTGCAGAAATGGCACGAATCTGACCCAAGGCTAAGGGCAAGCAAGGATCGAAAAAAGAAAAATGGCTCGTTGCGTGGATGGGTGGGGCAGAGAGGCTGGAAGATATTGGGGGTGGGGGGTGTGCGTCGAGAAGTGGAAACGTGATTTGCTGGAGCAGTTCGGGGGGGCGCCCGGTGGGGCGGCTTTTGTTGTGTTTGTCCTGGGGGGGGAAAAGTAAGGCGGGCGGGTATATACGGGAGGGGCGCGGCGCCAACAATTGTTTTCTCTTCGGGCGGGGGTTACTAGTTCCCTTGTACGACGGGGGGGCCGAGGAATCATGTTTTACCCGAAGAACCCCCAGAATTGGCCGTGGCGACTTGAGCGGGGATAGTGCACCTGCTCGAAGTAGATGCTTGCTGCAGTCGAGTGAGATGAGAGGTTGCGGGGCGTCCTGCGAAGAAAGCTACTGATGACAGCTCGGAGTGTTCACACGTGTTGTCTACAAAAAGCTAGTGTGAATATTCCGCAATAATCGGATGGGCGGAGCCTTGCAACCCCGCTTTCCTTAAGGACATGCTAATCCTTGTCAGCGTATCAGAAGAAGGGCCAACGGTGGTGGATCTCCACCATCTCTCCGCTCATACGATTACTTGCGGAATGCGTCCAAACTGCCCCTTATCTTATCTGGTCACTGCGCACTCATAAAAGATAGATATCGATTGTGCGCGCGCAAATGGTGCTTGTTCGTGTTTACCCGCTCGTATCTGCGCAGTTCTGCTTGGTAAGGACATTTAGCTCTTTCTCATCTAACCCTGCCATCCTTCCTGGATGAACCTGTAAATTCCTGTAAAGCTCTGCAATAGCGTAAGCTTCGTTACACTTGACAAGGGTCTGCAAGTGCGTAAAAAAACCAGGGTTAAAAGGAATGTTGTAATGTAGCTAGAGACTAGCAAGAGGAGCCTAGAAAAAAGCTAAAACATGCCCCCTAAGCAACATGCTCGCTTAAATGACTACAGGGATGCTCTATGTAAACTGATAATTATTAATTCTACAAATATCCAATTGAAAAGGTTGATATGCAAAAATTATAGAGCAAAAAAACCGAAACGAAAAAAAACGAAAAAAAGGCAACAAGAACTCACCAAGTCAAATCGGCACTATGTTTTCGCTAATTTTGATTGAATAATTCTGATTCTGGTGTGACTGCTGGATCCACTCAGTGACCAACTTGAAAACAAAACAGTATTCAGAAAAAATGCACTGTCTAAAAATTCAACGTGGTACGGAATGTAAAATAGCCTACTGGTCTGCCACGGGGCGCTTAACACATCCGAATTGTGGTATCCGAACTGGAACGAACCAAGTGTCACCGAGAAAATCGCAAAGGCTAACGCACCCGTCATCCGGCCCTGAAATTATAACCGATAAATAGAGCGATAAATCACGTATGGGAACATAACTGATGGATTTGAAGGCAGTGGGCACGATGGCTGGGGGCGGATGGTCACTGCCAGCGTCATTGGTGGAAGAGTTGTGATAGGGAGTTTGACCACCATACCCCCCGCTCAACCCTTCTGAAATGACGCTGCCAACAAATCGCCCGCCTCCCAGGTAATCGTTGCCATTCAAGTCGAAAAGAAGATGCAAATAATAAAGGACAGTTCCCGAATATTAGGTTCCTATGGATTTTATGAATTGAAGTTTGCTCTCTCAAATTTGCAAAGGCGCAGTGAAAGTTGATCGGCTCGAGCGCCGAGGACACCTTACCATCACCACCTTTAGTCGCACGCCCACTTTTCTGCGAAGCGGAAAGGCGCGCACTGAAGGAAGATGGAAGTAGGTTGGTTGTCTCGCCCACACGACCATCATGGACTATGCGTTCAAACATTTCTGTGACGTCATTTCCGTCGAAATGAGAATTTGCCTTCAGATAAAGCTTGACAAGGAATTACAGTTTGAAATTAATCTATAATAGTAATCGAATAATCAATTATTAATAATCCTGGCATTTGGAAGCTTCCATCTCTACTACAATACTACTCGACTAATACTTATTGGAATATTATCAACACGCTTCTTATAATATTTCAGCTTTATTGTATTTTATTCAGCAGTTATATTTCGCTAGTACCATTGTTCAAAATTAATTTTTTCATTTTCTCAGCTAGAATAAAACGTTTCATCACTCCACCTGAACAGTCTGCATGTTCTGCAGCGGCACATCGGCCGTATCGCTTTCTATTGTCATCTAAACAGTTCCGTTTCAATGAAGAAACGAAGGAATACGAATACGGTAATGCGCGAGATACTGTACGACCCTACGGTACACAAAACGACGACAGTCTGATCACAGTAAAAAAATCTGGAAAAGGTTTAGCGGCAAAAGGAGCCGCTTAGACACGCACGGTAGGAAAACGAATCCCCGGATAGAATAGCCCTCCCCCGATCCCCGGGTGTTGGTACCACACCTTTCTGGGAGGGTGAGAAGAGAACACCTAACTGTATGTCGAGTAGCTCTTGCGAGTTACTCTAGAGAACAAAGGGCATTAGAAAAGCCTCTTCGATTGTGAATGGTAGTAGGATGCGTGGCGTATTCCGAAAAAAGAATCGCCTCGCGCTGTGAGCACTTTTCTTTGAAAAATACTTGTGAAACATTCAGGAGATCTGCGTGGAATACATATCCCAATTACTTTCCAGCGTGTAATAATTGTTCCCCGTGAAACGGGAAAAACCTCGAATATTTGTTCCCGTTTCCAAACTCTCGCACCTGGTTGCATTAATGCAGACCTCTTTCAGCCTACCAAATATGACCCAATCCTTTCTACCCGGGGACAGAAATACAACTCTCCCAGTAGGCTATGTGTCCTAGTTACCAATGCAAACGAATTTCGGGAGCCTGCACTTGACATAATTGTTCCCACAACCGTCGATATCCCAAATTTCCGACTAGCATTACCGAAGGAGGGGAGGGGGGGGAGGCTCCGTTAACCTGGAGGATGGACCCTGTCATGTCTGCTTTGGGAGGAGGCATCGGTGCAAGTCCACCGCTCCCTTCTCAGAATCCCCCATCGGGATGATCCGCTCTGCTCCGTTTCTGATGAACGCCGTTCGAATGCTCCCCCTAGAACAGGGGAAATACGACGAAAATTCAAAAAATATGGCCTCTCTAGGGACTAAAATACGACCCCCACTCATGAAAAGTTCCTGGTCACGAGGTGCTCTGCGGGAGTCTGCAGTTGCAAAGAAAGCAAAAAAAATGGCGTAGAAATGAAGTCTATACCGCTTCGTCGCTTTACAAGTCTTTGCACGTCTACACAAAAAGGTCCCTGCAAAATGACAGGAATAAACCAAATACCCCTCCCCACCGCACCCCTCATGATGAGCCGCACACAAAAAAACCAAAGAGCACTGGATTTCACGGAAAAAGGTTCCGGTGCCATTGGTTATACAGCTGCCTGGCTCGACGAGTGTGCGTCAGTATTTCAGAACAACTGACCGCTTTAGCAGCAAATGTCACACTAAAATACTCCCGTCGACCCTCATCAATCATTTCCACCAATTAAACTTCAGGGTTCCGACTCGAAAAACTAATACCGCCACTAGGTTGGTACGCTTATTCAGTGAGCAAAAAAGAATGTGAATGCTTCAAAAAGCTTTTACAAAACCCAGATGGCCCGTTTCATAGCCTCAGAATCCCAGCAGCTCTGAAGGGTAATTTTGCTTTTCTCTCCTTATCTTCGCTCATGACACGTCGCATGTTGGGGATATTCGGGTCGTATCGAGTCGTAAAGGAGAGGGGGGAGTCGTATTCACCCCTGAGAAAAACATTTTTGCTAGTCAACTGTTCTAGTCAACTATTCTAAATTTTTGCTCCAGGTGTTCTACATATGTGTCTTTCCCCCTGCTCCTCCGCATGACACTACGGACCAGTTTTCGCGCACGACAGTTTTTCGCGAAAACAATAAAAAAAATGGAGAAAAAAGAGAGGGCGAGCTATTGTAGCATAGCCGATTGAAGATTAGCGGAAGAGGAAGGCGTCGTATTCAGTCGAGGAACATCATCGAGGGAAAGGAATTCGTATTTTCGCCATAAAATTTCCCCAGCTGTGTGGATGTGCTCCCTCTACTATGAGTACTCGTCAGGACAAACCATGGTGATGAAGGAAGTGGGTCGTTGAGCACGAACCTTGACCCCACCTCAAATACCGCTCTAACACCATAACGTCGGGTAAGTTCATCAATATTTCCCATATTTTTTGCTCAGATTCCCCAGAAAAATCTCATCGGAGTTAGGGGATCCCTATACTTTACCAATTGTTTTCAAATGTCAAATTGATGCAATCCACTTCAGTTCAGCAAAACCGGACAAACTTTCCTGAGGACCTTGACACGACCTCCTGCAGGAGTTTCTCGGCCTCGGCTGTTCTAATCCCTTGCCCTTCTATTTCACTGCAGAAAAGTTGGAATTCCTTGGGGAACCTGAAGGATTCACAAAGAGCTCAGGGGTCTGTTCACCAAGTCATAAATCGAACAGCGGAGCGACTCAGCTCTCATTCGCTGCGGATGCCATGGCGCGGGCATGAAGGTGGGCGGACGTCTGCTATTTTTGCACCAATTTCACTTTGAGAAAGCCAGGGCGAAGGACAACAAACACTGCTTAAGCGTCGTGCCAACTCAGCTCCCCCCATGACACGCCCCCATCATCCCAGATTCGCATCATCTACTACCTGACCCTTATATCTGCGAAAGAAATCCCCAAAG